ATGTGGGTGCAGCTCTTCAGCCATCGTATCGTTAGGGGCGGATCCGAATAGCCATAAGGTGTTTGCCGGCTGTACCCGCCCACAATTCCCTCCACCAACTCCTTCTCCTCCTCCTCATCGCCGCATTCAACGGTCAACACTTTTCTTGGCTGCACCCAGACAAGCGCCACGTTGCGCGCCTCTCGGCACTATTCATGAAATGCGGTGGTTCGCAATACTATTCGTGTTAACTATTGTATCGGCAAGATCAATAGGTGAGTTGTGTTATGAGCCCCAGCTGAAATCACTTGAACTCGTCAATATTTTTAGTTCAATTTTAACTTCAGTCCAAAAATCGCTTCAATCATATTGGTTGAAGGGCATCAGTGAAAGCCTTTGTTGAAATTGATCCCGCGGATCAATTTTTTATAATTTTTATATATCATATCACACCGGGGCGTGGGTGTCAGCACCCTTTTCTTAACACCCCAAGATTTCAGTTCAAAATCCTGAGTAGATAGTTAGATTTAATAAGATAGTTGGATTTGTGAAGCAGGTCGATTTCCTCAGTAAATTGTAAATAATGCGTTACCAGAATTGAGGATGATCCTTAAAAAGATTTGTTTTTTGGTATGACAACTCGCTGTCTTCTGTCTGCACTGCGCAGAAAATTGGACTTCAGTTGTCAACTTTTTCCCCAGCTAGGCAACATTCTTACCTCTGAAAAAGACTTAATAGGCTATTATTCTGAAAAGCAATTGGTCTGGATTACGTAGTAATTATGTTTTGCTCCTGAAAAACTCCAAAGAAAACACCATCCAGTCACCATTTCCGGTTTGACCACGTCAAATGCATTATTGCAGCATGAAACGTCACCGCCATGAAATCACTCAGGTTACTCAGACCATCGTTTTCATCAGAGAAGTAGCGATTTTAATTTTTCAAAACAGATATTATCATTCCTCTGACATATGTATTCGCACCTTACGTCCTTAGTGGACTGAATAATCAGTTTATTAATAATTGAATAATAATAAATTAATTAAATACGTAATGGCATATTCTCAAGTCTACCAGGAAAATATTGGTTATTTTCCTATTTATGTTGTCAACCACCCTTGATCGCCGTCGCACTTTCGAGCCGTGATACGGCATAGATTATTGCAAAATCTCATTGACTATTGCTTTGACCTAATTGGTTTGACATCTTGTTTGAAAAGGGAACAACTAAACACTGGAATTGTTCAGTTAAGCGTAGGTGCGACTAGCAATGTTTATTCTGAGGCCAGCGCCTAACAATCCCAGACAGCATAAAAACGGCTTGAGCATGTGTAGTAAACACGGGCCTTCGAGCTCTAAAGCCGTCATGCATCAAGCAGAACATTGGATGGGTGCAAACTAGCATCTTTCATCCCATAAACAACTGCCCCCTAAGACTGGCTATGCGGGCATGTAGATTTCGATGCTACAAACTGAGCGGCGGAGTATACTGTATAACAGAAGAGTGCCAGACATAAGTAATGAAAACATGAGTCGCTACTGAATCTGAAGGTAATCATACTACCGAGCACAGCACAGAAAGGGCTGGTGCTAGAACCATCATCAACCCAAACAGATTAACGCACGAGCTGGTTCGTCAGTGCTTCCACCGCGTCTATTGGTGGTAATGATCGGAATGGAAGCATTTTCTTCTAATGAAGGACACTAAACGCCTGTATTAAAACGACCTTCATGAAGAGCCGACTAATCAGTAAAAGTCAATACACAATCGTAAAAATTCCTTGAGTTTCCTTGCAACCTTTTCAGGAAGTTCTTGAAATGCTCCAACCAAAATCGCATTTCAAATAGGGTTACCGGCGGCAGGTAAGATCCCAGAAAAAATGACTCATCATATTTCAACCTGCAGTGCAGTGGCTTATTCGCTGCTCCGTCCTAAAAGAAAGCAATTATCCCACGAATGGAAATACACAAACGAGCTATCACACATCTCAATCTCTATCACACACAAAGGTGCAGCAGAGAAGAACCTTGCCCAACTGTGCAGACGAGTTCAATGAAACGTTTTGACACACACACAACGCGCTAATCAAAAGCGTCATTGCCATCAATGAGATTTTTAATAGCTTTTTTGAAAGCAATTTTCACGACAATTTTTGAGAACAATTCCTGCTGAAACGACTGCGATTATTTTTATAACAACAATAGCTTAGGCTTACTGTAATGACCTCCAACTCAACTGCCACTATAAATAAGGCAGTAGTTCGTTGATCCTCATATTTTGTTTCTACTCAGAAAAACAGTAGTGAACTGTGAATCGGTCGGTCCCTGCAAGCCTCTCTATGTCAGGATTAGAAGGCATCCAAGTACAGTTCTTATTAAGATGTGAAATGCGCGTGGCGTCATCCCCATCACGAAGAATAACAGCACTTAGATCTATTTGTGTTGTACTACAACTACTTGCAGAAATATAATTAAAATTATGCTTGTAATTCACCGCCAATAAAAACTGCGCCAGATAAGAGAGGCTGACATTGGACCTTGCGTTATTTAGCAGACTATCCCCGTCAAAACGCTTCACGGGAAAAAGGTTTTTCAAGTGGAAATCTTCTCTTTTCAAAGATTGGAAGCACATGTAAGGATACACCACAGGATCCGACCGATCATGCCGTTTTGATTATAGGGCCATGTACCCACCGTCATTTGGAAGACTGACTACCACAGTCACTTGCGGGATAATGAACTTAGCGGGGTTGACGAAACGCATGATCCGAAATTTGAATTGAGCCGCCAAGTACGTGCCCCTTGTTCCCAAACCTACATTATCGACTATCCAAGGAAAATAACTACGGAACGCTTCTAACAAAGTATCGTCTGGTAGATCACGAGGGAGACGGGGCGCGGGTTGTCAGCACCCTTTTTTAACACACCAGATTTAGGGAAACTCTGGTAGATAGATTAGATATGGGTGATGATAGTTGATTTGGTGAAGCAGTGCTAATTCTCGGTTAGATTTGTATAAAGGCGTTTACCAGGAATGTTGAGGGAGGTCTTAAGATTTTGAATGTTTTTTGGTAGGAAATGGCTGTCGTCTGTCTGACTGCCAGAAAATTGGACCTCAATATCAACTTTCCGCAACAGGAAACAGTCCCAGCCTAAAAAAGAACCCAATAGACTATCATTCCGGGAAGGAATTGGTCTGGATTACTGTAGCAATTATGTTTTACTCCTGAAAAACTCAAAGAAACACCGTCCATCGCCGTTTTCGTTTGACACGTCAATGCGATCATTGCCAGCATGAAACGTCACGCATGAATCACTTCAGGTCGAGCCATCGTTTTTCATCAGAGGAAGTAGAGCCGATTTTAATTTTTCAAATGGAATGTCATTTCTCTAAACATATTTTCGCTTTACTCCTTGGTGAACTGAATAATAGTTTTATTAATAATGAATAATAATAATAATGAATAATGTAAATGAGAGACAGATTCTTCAAGTTCTAAGGAAAATAGTTGGTTATTTATCTATTTCGTTTGTCAACCACATGATGAGCTAGCATCGCAGAGTGATTATCGGCACAGATTAGGTGTAAATCCATTGAATTTCTCTGTGATGACTTTGGTGTTGAATCTACGTGTTAAACAGAAACAACCTTAAAACTGGAATCGTTCAGTTAAAGTTACATTGCTAGATAGCAATATATTCCAAGACAGGCTAAACATTCACACCGCTAACAAAGCGTTCGGGTATATGTAAGTGAGAAACACGCCCCTGCGAGCCCTAAAGGTGGCCAGCTCCCGAGGCCACAGCAGAGCAGGGTTAGCTCAAAAGCCACTTCTTAGCCATTAACACGGACTAGCGCATGCTTGGTGGGGGGTGTGGAGGTGTCGAGTGGTTAGACTGAGGCGGAGTAGAGTCGTTGGAGTATAGTCGTGAGGAAACAATGAGCTACTTGAGCTCTAATATACTCCGAGAGGCATAGCACATCAGGTGCTTTGGGCACCTCTTCACCAAAAACCAGAGAAGCTGGCGTGGCTCGTAGTGCTTCCGGGACAGCTTGTCTATTGAGTCTGAGAGTGGGGTGAAGGCGTTACTTCCATGAAAGGGCATGAAGTCTAGTAAAGCCTGAACTTTTATAATCAGAGCAATCACAAGTTTCTACAATTCTTCCTTGATCACTTTCAGAACAGTCTGGGGTGCCCCAAAAGTTTGTCAGAAGGACAGGTACACAACTTCCAATATGACCTTCTTCGAATTGCATTGCGTTTGAATTTTCCCACTTAAAAAGGCATTATCCACGATAGGAAAAGCTTCATTTAACAGGTGCAGCCAAGAAGAACATCCGTGTTGTTGGCTTTTCTGAAAGAGTTTGACGGGGGAGTGAGAATCAAAAGCACATGGCATCTCTGAGATTTTTAATAGCTTTTTTGAAAGCAATTTTCACGACAATTTTTGAGAACAATCCTGCTGAAACGACTGCGATTATTTTTATAACAACAATAGCTTAGGCTTACTGTAATGACCTCCAACTCAACTGCCACTATAAATAAGGCAGTAGTTCGTTGATCCTCATATTTTGTTTCTACTCAGAAAAACAGTAGTGAACTGTGAATCGGTCGGTCCCTGCAAGCCTCTCTACAGGATTAGAAGGCATCCAAGTACAGTTTTATTAAGATGTGAATGCGTGGCTCATCCCATCACGAGATAAGCAGCACTAGATCCTTTTGTGTAACAGCTACTTGCTAGAAAAATGAATTAAAATCTATGCTGTAATTCACCCAATAAAACTGCCAGATCGGATGAGGCTGGCATTGACCTGCGTAAAACAGCGAGCTACTACCGTCATAAACGCTTCAGTGAAAATTATTTTCAAATGGGATACTTCTTTTTTCAGAGTGAAGCCAATAGAAGCGTGATAAAACATAGCACCGTCGGACCATCCGTGTTTTGTTTATAGCATGTACTTCCCTCATTGGGATCGTAATAGGCGTTGCATATTGATTTGGACTAACAGTGACTTGGGGATGATGACCCTAGCGGTGTTGATCATGATCCGAAATTTGACCGCCAAGCCGTGCCCCTTGCCACCACATCATCACTATCCGAAGGAAAAACTACGGAAACGCCAAAGTATGGCCCTGTTCTTCTACAAAGGTATTAGATCCCGTAGACAAAGAGGGAGAAAGGGACAATGTTGTCTTGTGCATACATTCCGACAATCCAGGTCTTTTAACCTTTTGTAATGCACAACCTAGCAATACTTGATTTCCAGATTTATCTCGCTTTTCTTTCGGAGGAATTTTTATTCATTTCCCTCTAATATATGCCCAGGGGCGTAGGCGACTCCATAGTAATTAATGTTCGCTGCCCGCAGCATTGGACAGGGAGTCCAATCATGAATCTCGTTAGCTACCAATCAGATATTCGAAGCTCTTTAAATTCTTTAATATCATTGAAAGACATGAAGTTCGTTAATGCTCGCTTCAATCGGTGTCCAACGACATACAGGAGATAGCAAATCGGATAGCCAAGGTAGATAAAATGGGATAAAGGATAAAGGATAAAGCATTTGCCGTTGATCAATCCCTTTTTGGGATGCGGCACGCATTCTACTTCCATTTGTACATTCGTAGTGGCGTTTGAATGCGATGTGGCCTATACAATGACTTGCGGGGGCCAGCCGATGTTCAAGTCAGTGTTTTTATCCTCCCAGACAAGTCTGGTACCAATTAACCGACCCCGGAGGGATGGAAGGCTTGGTTGGCCCGGGCGACTCACGACCCAGGATTTGATCCCGGACCGCTCGCGTGGTGAGCGTGCCACTTGTCACTGCACCACTTCCGCCCAAAAGTTATATAAAGAACATATTTCAGGCCAAACGAATCTTCTAGTCCTTCACTGTGATATGATACGGGATGTTATGTGTTACTACTTCATGTCAATGGTAGGAGGTAAGCAAACCAGCCCTTTTGGCGTTTCGGCTGGGACCGTATGCTGAATGTTGGGGAGGGGATGGGGTCCCCAACGGTCGACGGTTTACTTCAACTCGGTTGGTACGATAGGAGAGTACTGACGCAAGTGGTGCAGCTGGTCCAGCAGCTCCGCCAGAAGGGCTGGTTTGCTCACCCCAGGACTAAGCCTTGGAGAGGGGACGGACCCGTCCTCTCTTTAAGGCTTAGTTCTGAGGTGAGCACCAAATTGTGGCGGTTCTAAGGACCGAGTTGAAGTGGTCCGTCCACCGTCGGGGACTCCATCCCCTCCCCAACATTCAGCATACGGTCCCAGCCGAAGCGCCAAAAGGGCTGGTTTGCTTACGTTCCAACGGTAGTATGTAGAGAGATAATATCAATAGAGGAAATTCCCATCTGATCGCCTAGTGATCATATCAAGCAAAAGAATGTCATGAACTGGTCTCGGGCACTCTGTGACATATACAGTATACACGAAGAGGTTTCCTAGACAGCGCCACCCTTTAAGGAAGTGCTTTCACGATAAATTGTCTATTCTGATCATTCCCCCGCTCAAATACAGATGCTACAATGCATTTCCTATTCTTGTAATACGATATCATTCAATGCAAGGATTCATGGGCTGACGTATTGCTTAGATAAGTCGGCTTATTTCTCTCCAAAATTAAACGATGTGGCATTAAGCTTCAATCTGGTTCTATGATGATTATGCTTTACTGTAGGGGTTATTGAGGAATATGAATTACATAACTTCGTATAGCATACATTATACGAAGTTATACGAAAATCGGTGCACCCGTGGCAGAAAGGATTTTCTCTCCAAATAAAGCCATTGTAATGGAGAACACCTTTTCGCCTTTATAAATATTCCCAAGATCACCCTTGCGGAGCAAGACACGCCTGATCTGGTCCTCCCTAAGGCTGAATCGTGCACAGCAAAATCGAGGACCAGTTTCTTGGGCAGGTTTTTAAAAGGTGCCAGATTTTGCCATCGCCCGCTAGCGGATTGCGCGATAGGTCAACGAGTCTGACACCGCTTGGTTGTTCAATGGTGAATGATGACGTAAGCGCTCCTTGGCACATTGGGGAAGAGCAATGAATTTCGAAGTTTCCTTCTCATTCATTAGTCTTTCATATGTTGTGGATCTATTTTCCTGCGAAGTGTTTACTGAAATAGGATAGCTAACTTAAAGTTGGGTCGGAAAAATTATCTGTTATTATTCACTGTGGCTTGTGCACTCCTGATGTTGTGTACACAATATTGGAGGGATGTAGATGGCTGCGACTAATGAAAATGGTTCGGATCAAACTTGAACCAAACCCGCTTAGTAGTCCAGCTTGCTCTCTGTGGGGTAGACCGATGCCAGATTTCTTTGAAAGGTCAGTAGTGGTTTTCATCGATTTGCGAGTCATTGTCACATTCAGATATTTGCACAAAGATGAAACGATGCATGGCGCATATCGAGGGGAGCCGATTTTTGCCAAACGCTTGCCTTCCGTGTTGCTCACTGGCCCGTCGTGACTCACTTTGAAATTCGCATAGAACTTTGGAAAGGACCAGTATTTCAATAGCTGTAAGTTTGATGTTAATTATGGGGGGCTCTAAAACTGTAACGATGAAATCTAAAGAAGTATGAGTTCAATTTAGCGCGTCGCGGTTGGCAAAAAACGTTGCTGAGGCGAGCTTACCTGATGGAAAACAGTCGCCGTGGCTCAGCGTCAAAAACGAGTCTCATTTTCGTAATTAGGGCCCGCTCCTTACAGAACAAGTTTCAAGCAATGTGCCTTCACGGGTTCCCAAGAGCCCCCAAAGGACGAGTCGCAGCGCATACTGTAGCGGTTAGGCGTCAGGTTGGATAGTGTACCATACTACGTCTCATATCGCACAGCACGCGCTGCGACTCGTCCTTTGCCGCATCTGCGTCTCTTCCTTCGCCGCGCGGCGGGCCTCTTGGGGGACACCCGTGCTTCCCAAAGGTTGCACCTCATCATTAGCGTTCTTTTGCAACTTTTAAGGCTCACAACTTTCTTACAAAGTTCACGTAGCAGTTTTAGTGTCCATATTTGTATCAGCGTCCAAGACTATCGATGTACCTAGGTCTCCTTTCAAAGTTCCATGGGAAGTTCAAAACATTCCCTGGTAAGTATCAAAAAGCTTTCGATATCCGTAAACTTGCTTTCATTCTTACCTTTTTGCACTGGTCTAAGGCCCTTTCAGAATAACCTTTCCGCTGTCCATGCTCTATATAGACTTATTTGTGATGTCCATTCCTTTCGCAATGAAATGAGACTACTTGAAGTGCTCATGTCTCGCATATCAAACGAGCTGTATTGCTTTTCAACCATTACATTTTTTGCGATTGTCTCCAACGGCTGTTATTAATTGGGTAATTCCTCCGAAATAACCGAGGATTCTGTACTTTAATTGGAAAATGATTTCGATCAGCCTACGAAATTGCTTTCAAATGACGTAATCTTAAGATCCTTTCAATTGCTTTGGAAATTAGAGGAAAGCTGTCATTCCTGGGTAGATCCAAGATCACTCCTCAGCAGTTTTGCTGGGATAGCAATTTGCCATTTCTAAGCAATTTAGTACGAAGGATAATTGGCCGAAACAAATTCCCTGGCTGGACTCTTTCAAGCCGAACAACTAGATAGAAATGAAGTGTCCCGTGGTTCATCTTGCGTGCTCGACCACTCGTCATTCCTTCGGGGAATGTGGGGGAGTGTTTTGGTCCCATAGCTTGCTCAACGTCCAGATCATGACCAGATTTACTATTCCTCCATTGCGTGGTCGAAGCGTCTTGTTTTGCCCCCAATTCCACTAGTCAGAGCCTGCATTTAGAACTGAAAGCTTTGAAATATTCAAGAGGACGACTATCAGATGGAAGCGCTCTAGTTTTTCTGAGAGCTACTACCGGAAATCTTCCATTATCGACGAATCAAAAAGTGAAATCCATCGACGTTTCCAAAAAAGGACTCATATTTCACCGCTTTCCCAGACAGTGTTAAAATCTTTGGAAAGCCGATTCTTCTTCAATGCGCTTCATACTATCGCTACAATTTAGGGGGGGGGGCACTTGCATGAATATTTGCCGTACAAACAATAAATATCCTTCAAACCCCATCGATAAGCGTGATTCCATTCTGGCAGAAAATGGCAAACACTAGCCCTTTTGGTAATGAATAGTGCAATTTCAATATTATTCTTTACAGTAATGAGTAATAAAATAAAAAGGAATACTAATAATGATATCAATAATATTATAGAAATACAACGGTTTCACTTTTTTCTCAATAGCAGTCTTCTCCTGCAAACATTCGTAGTACTATCGTAACCAGCGACAGTGTAACCAGCGGTAGGGGGTAGCACAGACCGCTCTTATCTTTCGACACCTTTATCAAGACGGTTCCAGGGTATGTGGGCAGGCCGACATCTGAATCAAGCCCACCTAAAGTCGTCTCCTGATAATCAGACCTTGAATCGTAAGAAGACCCAATCGTCCTGGGCAAAACTTGATTAACCACGCCTCGATTTCACCCTGCACTGCTTCAGTTCATTTCCATTATGCATACTGACCTGAGCGTCAATTGAATTTTAGTAGCCAAAATTCCTATCGCAATTCCATTCGTAGAAACTACAAATGCACTATTATCAAATGGAGCGTTCAAAAACATCGTAGAGAGCTCAGAAAAATATGGTAGAGGTAGAGTAGTGGTTGGGACAAGTAGTGTCGTTTACTACGCTCATCTTCAAGGGATCCAATTCTGGATCTGTCCTACCCAGGCCAACCAGGAGTGTGGTCCTTTCTTCGTCGGTTTATCGGAATCAGACTGTTCTGGAAGGATAAAGCATTGACTCGTGCATCAACTATGCCCGAAAGGTCATTATCTAGGTAAAATCGCCATCGGAAAGCCGATACGATAATGAATAAAGGAAGAATGTATGGCACATACCACGAAAAGGATATTTAGAGCCGAATATTTTGTTTTTCGACCATTTATCCAAAGAATTTGAAGATTCTTATAATTTTAAGCTAACCCGAAGTGCAAGTCAGTTTGACATCTTTTCGGACCAATTTATAACACCAATTAGTCGACCCCGGGGGATGGAAGGGTTATGTTCGGTTTGGACGGCAAGCCATCCGAGATGCGACCATAGGACTGGGTGCATGATAACCGGCGGCACTAGCCACTGCGCCATAAGTTTATTTCGAGAGTTTCCAGTAATTCTATTTTTAGCGAGTTCCATCTTAGTGACATAATTAATAGTTAGTTAGTTAAATAACTACTCCTAAAACGAATATTATGCTCGAGTTGGTAACCTAGCCTTCCCAGGAACTACTTTTGTGGTCGATGAAAGGGTTTCAACGTTGGGACAGCATTAATTTCGCTAAGCCAATTAAGGGTTCGCTACAGCAATTAGTAAAACACTGAAAAAAAAACGTTGTCACCTCAGGGAACTGACTTACATCATTCTTTTGAGGTACAAGTCGATCAAAATAGACCAGTTTTTCGTTCCATGTGCTTTCAAGCCATGACAGGTGAAGCTGGACCGATGCTACAGGGCCAGAAAGTGGCGACCCCTTTGAAAATCGTTAGAAGAAGAGAAACACATTCTCATGATACTGTGAGTAGGCTATCCAGAGCTTACTTTGCACCCGATGGGCAGCAGTAGTAACAGATCGGTGCTTTAATTTCAGTACGACGACCGCATTAGAATAGTGCTTAACTATGACCCAAACAAAGCATAGCTAACTTCACAGATCGTTAAGGGATTAAGAAATATCTCAAGTTGTTAGTTCGTTGAATTTCTTCTGCCTTACGAGGTTGTTGGGTGGAACATTTATTTCAATAGCCTAACGTTTACTGAGTCGTCGTCTTTAGAAGGCTGCGTTTCAAGTATTAGATTCACGCTCTACCTCAACAAGAACCGCACCTTTAGCGCTTCCAACACAAGAAAGGAACCCCTCGAGAAAATTCATTTAATTCAAAATTAAATAACTCGAATTAAAACAAACCAAAAACAGGTCTTAACTCAAAATTTTAAATGGCCGAGTTTGGCTGCAATTCGAGTTGACGATTAGGCCGGAGCACGGTCCCAGTTCTCAACTTGTGAACAGTCCTCTGCCGTAGCGCGTAGAACATGCTCTGAATGGACCCAATTTTACCTACATCGTGTTTTGCGCAGATCTTTTATAAGTCACACCTGACGAGTCCATTTCAATGTTCGTCCAAACATATCAAAGCAGCCCATTTTTCACTGAAGGAGATCATTATTATTATCCGCTTCATTGACGACATCGTCATAACAGCCAGCTGTAGTCAAGCGGACTGAGAGTCAAATGATCCTGACAACTCAGGGAGAAAGTCTGGCTAAAATCTTGAAAAAAACACGTTCTCTGTCTAGGAGATACGCGGGTGCCCTAATTCATACGCTACGTGCTCTGAATGTAAGTCATAGGTAGGCCGAACCACAACATTGCCGACGTCATAACTTCAGATGGACAAGTGAAGGGAAAGATGTCTGGAGTAGCGATGAGGGGACTTTTTTAGACAGGAGTGGAAGGTCAACTCACAGAATAGTAGGGTTGAGGTCAGAAGCTGGACCCTAACGATGTATAACCCACAGCAACTTACAGACTCCTTGAAAGACCCCGCATAAGTACTCACATCAGAAAATTAGGCGGGTTGATTGTTCAGGCTAAAGATTAGTTTCCACACCGACCACGAAGAGTACGTGCTCCTGCTCTTTTCCCAGCTCTGTTTTGTAATACGATTACGCGAATGTACGGTTTGGAGAGGAACCATTCAATCAAAGTGGCCTCAGAATTCGCAGGGCCTATGCCGTGCATTTTGTTCTTTTTGAGCCATCTACAGCGCATTTATTGATGCGATTCAGGGTTTTTTCGAACACAGAATGGAGGCCCTGTCGAATTTGTAGCATAAGTTGTCTTCGTTAGAATCAGTAGCGTAGTGACCTTTCAATGCCTGTCACGAGAAGTAACCAAGGCTTTAGTCCTTCAACTGACAAGCCAAGATCCACAATAAAGAGTTGCCCGCTGCATGGGCAGGGTGGCCACAAATTGACGGTAACTACGAAGAATGATCCTGAACTTTTGCAGAACTAGATAAAACGATAAAGAAGTTAAGCAAAAATATGTTCATTTAGTATTAATAAACGAGAAACCACGTTACTCAGCTATGACAACTTTCTGTTCAGTCGTCCAATTTTGGAATTGTATACGGTTTGCCTTGTTGTCGTAATCTGTGGCCACAATGTACTCCTTCGGACAGTTTGGGACTCCAAGGAGTCACTACTAGCGAATCGCCCTGAATTTGCAAAGTCCGACACCAACCTTGGCATACATCTCAAGATCATACTCAGATTGTATTCCAGCCTTTCAACTAACCTATTCCCATAAGTCTTGCAATTCAAAAGGAAGTCCACCTCCATCACATTTGGTCTCTCGTAGCTATTATTTCCCCATAAATATCCTTGTACTTTCTGACATCGACCACGTCCTTGTGTTTCCCCTTTCTCGCATTATGTACTGTATAGGGACAGCGTGGCGAAGTTTTCGATATGTCTTGATTGGTTTCATGCCAGGATCCATGCTTACAGCGAATTTGAATTTGAGTGAAAGCAGTCCTTGGAAAATCGTGAACAACAATGCTTGTGAACACTTCTGCTGCATTACGATAGCGTTGTTGTTACATGCTGAGCCTCTAGTTGTCTCAGTGTTGAAACTCTGTGAGATTTTGAAGTATAGTGGAAAGCAAACACAAAAGATTTTAGAAGAGTTACAAAAGTGCTGATTCTGATCATGGCCATATTTGGGCGCTTAGCACCTTCCTTCACCTTGAAACAATTTTTGACTGGATTTAGCTAGTCATTAAAAATAAATGACTCACCCTACATAAACTTTGCTACACATAGCAACTCTACTCAAAACTCAAAGATATAATGTCATCCTAAAATAGTGGAAGATTTTCCAAGCAACAGCTAAGCCTAAATCCAATCATAACCTCAGGCTGCACCAACGATCGCGCAATTCTGGTGAAATGACTTAGGCGGGAATCTGAACGTCTCCCGGAGAAGGATTTCGAAAGATTTCGAAACCAGAGTTCCAAAAAAGTAAGGTTGAAAAAGTAAAAGTGATGTAGCAATAAACAACAAAATTATGTCTTAGAAATGACAAACAATAAAAATTTTGAAAAAGATAAGGTAAGGGCATGTTAAAGGAATCTTCCGCGGAAAAAGCTCCGCCTCCATTACCACAGAAAAACGATACCCCTTAGGCCCCTAGCCTCATGAGCATAGCAAAAAGAACGGAACATAAGCGTTAGTTTCGATAATACTAATCCTACACACAAGACAAAATGATCACTCTTTCCGTGGAAGATTCCTTTAAGGTATCGTTTTCTGTGGTAATGAGGGCGGAGCTTTTTCCGTGGAAGATTCCCTTTAATTTGGCGTAATTAAAGGCCTGATTGGAGAATAAACTCGGCTGGTCTCACGGGTGGTACGAGGGCTTTCAAATCAGCCCTCAAGGGCTTGCTTCGGTTTTTTTCCTGTTAAAGTTTTT